TCTGGTACTGAAAGACTGAAACTATATGCCGTCCAAATTAGGTAGGTGGCTAAGTGGAACCAAATTTCCATGTGTAAGAAGAGAGAGGTGATAACAAATTGACAAAAGTTAATGTTTTTCTGTACAAATGATTGGTATGATTATTTGTACAAGTCTGGTTTTTCCGGTAACAGACTATCCCATCACTGTTTCAACTACATTCTACTCTAACTCCCTTATCAACCTAATAGCTCTAGCAATGGATTGTAAAGTCCAGTATCTCTAATCAATACAGAACCTCACCGGATACTTGGACACTGAATTACCACTCAAAATGAGAATAATTATAGATGAAAACATGTAGAAAATGTCATGTCCACAGAGAGAGAACCAATTCTAACGAGCTTTTTATGCCAAATATTTATTTCGATTTTTTCAAAAAATAAATTTTATCTAACGAGCTTTTTATGCCAAACCCGCGTTACCCGTGGAAGAAGCCCCTAACCTTGGCATGTACAGACGTTTCCGAGCTCCTTCTCGACTTGGAGTCGCTCATCTTCCTTGTTCTGACAATTACAGAGAGATCTCTCATTTCGGTCATGGTGGAACCGATTCCTCAGATCCACCGTCGTCTGCCGCCTCACACAGGCAGATCCAACTCGCGAAACCAGATCTAACTACCACGGAAACTGTACAACTACAGCTCCATTCGCAGGAACGGAGATCGAAACCCTAATCCAGAAACGGAAAATTGAAACCTCCGATTTAAGAAATTCTAAAGCTGAGAGAGTGATCTGCAAGAAGCTTTGCGGGTACTTTTCATTCGTACAAATTAAAGCGTTTTTTTTTTTAAACCGTCTGATTCACATTATTAAGCAATATTAGCTCCGAAACAGAGCAAAAAAGAAACAAGTTCGAAGACTAAAGTGACAACCAAAAGCATCGTACCCAATGACAAGAGAACTAATGATGCTTATTACAAAGTTTCTTGCGCAAGTAAATTATGTAACTATGCTGGACCGCCACGAGCAAGATATGAGTGAAATCGTCCATCACGAGTCACACTTGTGGATATTGCTCTAGCAATTTTGTTTGCTGTCATCGCCTCCAACTCAAAGGAGCAATGTTCAAACCCCAATTTCAGCCGGAATATTTGATCAATGTAAACACGGTATCTCGGCCACTCCATAGGCTTTGATAGTGCATCCATAACTGCTTTATAATCTGAAGCGATGATAACGCGGTGAACATGTAAGTCCCTCAAGCTTTTCAACGTCTAAATTATCACTCTCAATTCGGCTGTAATCCGGTTCCTAACTTTCGTGAAGGCTTCCCTGGAGTGAAATATAACAGAGCCTGAGGAGTCTCGTAAAATCCAAGAGCCTCCACAATGCAGTATGTTGTTTCTCCAATTTCCATGTAAGTTGCATTTGACCATGTTGCCTGCCGGTTTCTGCCAGGTGTGTGATAGAGAATCTTGCCCTCTGACATTTCGAGTATTCACAGCCTCTGCGTGATAAATCTCATACCAACATTTAGCTTCATCAAATGCCCTTTGCATTAACACATCAGCCGCCTTCTTGTATTCCACCAAACAAGGTCGAGTTGCGGTTCGTCCAAATGGACCATAAAATCCATGGGGTTGCTCTAACCCGATGTGTTAAGTCTCCAATCTTCTCGAGTAACTGAAAGACAAATGTGATATTGTCCTCAAGAGAGTCTCCAAAAGCATGTGGTGGAGAAGGAAGTCCAGCAACTCCCCATAATTGCGTAGCTCTATCACAGAGGAATAGGACATGGTTGATCGTCTCATCTCCTACATTACAAAACTTACACAGACTATTAACCACCAAGCCTCTTGTGCTTAAACGATCAGCCACAGCTAAGGCTCCGGATAAGAGTCACCAAAAGAACATTCGTATCTTTGGTGATGTTTGTAGCAACCAAACCTTCTATTTCAGTGCAATGCATCTTTGTGACTGTGCATTGGTTTTGATCTGCGGACTAATTGGATGGTTAGCAGTAAACCAATATCCACTCTTACCGTATAGGCCCCTGAATCTGTATAAGCCCATATGTATTTATCCTGTGTATCGCCAATCGGTAATGTCAATATCCGAGAAGCTTCTGTTGGTGGGAATAAATCCATCACTAACTCTCTGTTCCACTTACTCGGCTATGTTATTAAAGTAGCGACATCAAGGTTAAGGTCAATGAGGATTTGCTTGTGAATAGGGCCTCGAGGATGGGAATC